TACCCTTTTTATGGGCATGTACAGGCCACACAGTCCACACAAGTATCATGTCTTTAAATATAAATTACATTATTATTGTACAACATCAGGCTGATATTATATTCAATTATACATTTATGGATTTAAGCATGACAGACATAGAGTCAACCAGTTTGTAGCGTCTCTACCGGTTTATTGGGTTTAGGTGGACCGGGAAGGGATTGTTTACAAATCTCCCCCTTAGGTTTAGTTCCCCAGGCTTTGCATTCAATAAGTCAGTATAGTGTACATGCCCCATGTCTACCCTTGAGTGAACTAACTGTATTGTTTGTTCTTTTAGCGAGGTTGTTCAACAGGAAGGTGAGAGTTTGGAGTTCACAGCCTCAGTTGCATTGGGAGGGTTGAGCTCCAGTAGGCACAGGTCATAGGTGTTTGTTAAAGCAACTTGCAGATTACTTTTCGACAGATTGCAGGTGATGGCCCAAAAACAATAGTAGTAAAAAATGTAAAAAAACCCATCTAGAGAAGCTTCGGAAATATGGGCGCGAAAGAATTCAGTGCTAATTAAGGATGATAGTCCTATATATAAAGAGCTGAGTATTGGTTTAGATGGGACATCGAGGAGTTCTTATTGGACAATTACAATGTTACACCAGGAGGATAAGTTGGTTTGTGACACATCCTTGCTCATACGATTTGGAGAGCATATACATGGTGGACTACTTGTTCAGGCAGCCGGCGTGGTAGGGCGGAGGTGGAGGGTAGGTGGGTGCGTGCGGGGCCGCGGTTCGCCGGCAGCTATGTGGTCCTCAGATCGGTAGTAGGGCTTCCGGGCGGACCGCGAGGGCGGAGTGACGGGGCGAACGGCGATGTGCCGGCGTGAGCTCATAGACACTGGGTCGGGGGCGCCGGTATCAGCAAGCAGCGTTACATCGGCAATTCTTCTTTGGTGAATTTTCAAGAAAAAGGTTCATTACCGAGGGCCCTTACCTAGATGCAAGAAAGGAAAGAATTCTTTATACTGAGGCAGAACGAATTGTCAGTTTAGAATATGAGCGAGAATTACCAGGCTCAGCAGGTATGGTAAGGGGATAGTGGCTACAGAAGCCGAGGGAGGTGTAAAAAGTTTTCAGGAAGGCCCTGAATGATGAGATTCAGCATGGGAGTTGGTAGCTTTCAGATTCCAGAGAGTTTTCTCAGCTTTGGTTAGAGGCAGCCTCAGGGAGATAGAGCGCATTCTCGCGTCCACGTCAGCGTTACCAGACGCAGCTGGTCTCAGCAGAGGCAGAGACCAAACTCAGAGTTGCCACCCAGTGCATATCAGTCAGAAAGCCAAGAGATGTCAGAAGGGTGCTAGTTAGTTTCACTAGTTCTAGACCTTCCTTTAGCCAAGGCTCACTAGGGGTGCTAATGCGCCAGCCGGATCGGGGGTATCAGTGGGCTAGTTCTGCCCTGGTGCGTAGTCGAGGTTCAGGCCAGAGAACTGGGTAGAGCACCAGTAGAGGTGCAGAGCTCAGCCGGCTTTATTACTCCTTCCACCTTGTGGGCATTGTGGCAGACTGGCTTATGGTGGAGATTGTTGGTTGGTGCATCTGGTAAATGTTGGATATGCCGGAGCATCAGGAACCATCAGAAGAAGATTGTCCGAGAGGGCAAAAGTTCCTACACATTCATTAACAGGCAGAGGAAGGAGGTAGAGCTCCTAGAGGGCAGAGACAGCCAGTCAGAGACTGTGGACAGACTCTTGATACCAAAAGAAGGTCCAGCCAGGCTTTTATGCTATGCCGACGCCACTGGAGAAGATTTAGGAAGCTTCCAGATGTATAGTTTTGGTGAGTTTCTTTATTGTGGATTCATACAGTTTCTGCCTTTAATTGATTCCTGGCTCATTCTCATTTCAATACATTAGTGTACCAAACCTTTGGTTAAAGGTGTTTAGATAGTTTGCCCATTTATGTGAGTCACGGTATGTTATTAGTTATCTAATCCTGGATGTAGTACAAACCTCATACAGTGTCTGAATCCAATTGTAACAAAGGGAGATTCTTGATGGAGTGCCTTAGAGGAATTTGATTGTTATTCTGGGTATGGATGGCTATCCAGACATCAGATATTAATTGATTTTGCCAAAGAAAAGATGTGACATCATATACTAGGGGGAGAGATTACGTCAAGTTTACGTCGGGAAGGCGGCCGAGAGTTTCTGGGGTAATGTCTGATATCAGCCATGGCAGCCAAAAGAGATTAATCAGACAAGGTTGTGAAGCATACTTTGTCATTACAAGCAGAGAAAGAACAGTCAGAATGTATCATACCAACAGTGTGTGATTTATCCAGATGTGATTTCCAGAAGATGTTACCATGTTACCACCAAGGGCAGAGGAAGTTGGAGTTTACCATTAGGTGGTCTATCCTGGAGCAGCCACCATATTGCACCCTAGGCGCAGCAGAGCTAAAAAAATTCTTCAGATATAAAGGGCTTTATCAGACCCTAGTGTATCACCTTGGGGTAGCAGTACTCGGGTTCTTTATTTGTAAAGAAGACAGATGGATCATTCACTGATTGTCATTGCATGAACTACAGACAAACTGACACAAAAGCTGACAACTCTAAGAATAACGTCATCCATTGCCATCGAATCGATTTGATTTGTTTGATCAGTTAAAAGGTTGCAGGTATGTTATTCTAGATCGCCCTTTAGGGTTCGGGACGCCTGATCGATCACCATCAGTTGCGCGATTAAAGGAAGAAGATATCGCTGCAAGAATGCGCATTCAGGACCCGATTATGGTCACTATGAATTTTTTAGCATGCCAATTCGGTCTCACAAATTGCACCAGCGGTTTTTCATGGGATCTCATGAACCGCGTGTTTCATTCATTATTCTGGATCAGTTTGTGGTGGTTGTTTATAGATGACATTTTTGCGCTACTCCAGACGATAAGGCTCGAAACATGATAAACATTTGCGGCGATTGTACTTCAGACATCTTCGAGGGAATTAAACAGCTGTATTGCCAAGCCTCAGTAAGTGTGAGTTTTGGCTGGAAGAGTTCATTTCCTAGGACATGTGTGTCATCGAGGGTTGATCAAGAGGGACCCTTTAAAGAAGATTGAAGCTATTGTTGATTGGAAGGAACCCACCTTAGAAATTCACAGAAGTTCGAAGTTTTTCTGGTTTAGCCGGTTATTACAGAATGGAATGTTGTAAAGGGATTCTTCCAATCATTGCAATCACCTTTAACAAGATTGTTTAAAGAAAGGAGGTTTGTATTTCCAATGTTAGGAATGCATAGATGTCAGCA